TATTTTTATAGCTGGTGTTCCCTGCCATGCCCCTCCCATGGTGGCTGTGGACAGGGAGGGTGGGAGGCAGGGAGGGAGGGTGTGGAAACTGAAGGTCACAGCGTAGAGGTCAAGCGGCTGGTCATTGTTACTCAGGGCCCCCACCAGGCCTCCAGGCCTCTTTCCTGTTGTGGCACCAAGCGATAAGCGACACAGAGACAAAAGACGATAACTGAAGATTGGTGGGCCACAGAGGGGACGGGGAGGCAGGGAACAAGCCGACAGGGAGTAGACTCACTCATTACAGCCAGAACCAATCATTCATGACCAGCCCTTGTGTAGCTATGGGGGGCTACAGTAGGTCCAGTTATTCTCCTAGCGTTACTGGTCAAATACATGTTGTTGGTGGCTCCTGCAGAGTTTTTTTTAAACACTGGGGGCTAGTGGGGGAGGACATTAGAGATTGGGTTATAAGTGACCTCTTTATCCATCTTCACTGTGCTGTCATTGTGCCTTTATAGTGGCTGGCTCATTATGAGTGATTCAATGTGAATAGTCATACTGTCCTCCTGACTGAGGATGCTGCCTCTGCTAACAGTCTGATACAGTCTGATGTTGACATGATTCGGGCCATGAATGCTTCTTCCTTATGGACAGCACAGGCCTCATGTACACTGGCTGAGACTTGTCTCTGAAACACTCCTGTTTCTCTTTGGACTCCATGACTACTCCACCAAAAGCACCGCATCCATGTGCCCTGCCCAGTTTGAATGGGATGAAAATAAATTCAGAGGACACACATGAAAACACACTCTGTCCATTTCGTTTAATTCTTTGCATTTATCCTCCAGTATGGTGGTCCCATACAGCTGTAATTACACACTTTGGAGAGCGATATTACCAAACACACGGGCAGATGGATTCTAACTACCAGCCTTTGATTCCTGATTATAGTGTACCAGGATACCAGGACCAGGGGGCTTCAAAGCAGCCAAATCACTGAGAAGTCATTGATGCATTTTCTTTTTTTAAACGTCGCCTCAACCCCAATGCAGTGGGATGCACAAATTATAACTAAAAAGGATTCTGAATTCAGGGTCCCTTAGATTGCCACACATGCACACGCAGACGCACAGCCACACCACCTATAGCAGTCATCTCTGGGCATATCCTCTCTACATGGTACTGGCATGTTCAGACCACGCTTCATGAAACTGTGGCCTTCCTGTCTTTGGTCTGCCATCTGCTTCCAATAAGCTAAGCCAGGCGGATCCCTCTGATGTTCCCCCACTTGCACAAGTGGCTGAGAGAGAGAGAAACAGAGAGAGAAAGAGAGAAATAGAGAGAGGGGGAGCTAGCAGTCCGAGCACTCTATTGCTGTATCCCACCGCTGGCTGCCACCAACAAAGCATCTGTGAATGTGCCTACAGTGCAGTAATATGACGATGGGACATGAATCCACAGTGGGCCCTTCTCATGGCCCCTGCTATCTTGTTAGCTGTGATGGGAAGGGACATTGTTTCTCCCCATAGCTACTAGTCATTCACAGTGGGCCGCTCTCACCAATCTGCTCCGGTGAAATTGAGCATGGTACTTTGTAATGGTGAGGAAGCTCTGCTCTCTGCCCTGTGGCCTCACCCCACACACTTTCACACACATGGATGAGAGGTGGCCACACACTGGTATGATATAATACCCCTCTGGTAGGACCACCCCGGTGTGTGTGTGTGTGTGTGTGTGTGCGCGTGCGTGCGTGTGCGTGTGCCATTTTGGCTCCAGACAATGACACTCTATAGGCTCAGTCAGCAACGTGACCAATAAGAAGTTGTTTATCTCACATAACAATCCCTCATGATTGTCACTTTCTTCCACACACCAAACATGATTAACCATAAGTTACCCTGTTATTAAACCCTTTAATGTGCTTGTTTGGCCAACTCTTTTTCCACCAGCAAGTGCTGAATTTGACCACAAAAATACAAGGAGACATACAGTGCATTCGGAAAGTATTCAGACCCCTTTACTTTTTCCACATTTTGTTACGTTACAGCCGTATTCTAAAATTGATTAAATTGTTTTTTTTTCCTCATCAATGTATACACATAACTCCATAATGACAAAGCAAAAACAGGTTTTTAGACATTTTTGCGAATAAAGTAAAAATATAAACGGAAATATCACATTTACATAAGTATTCAGACCCTTTACTCAAGTCTTCTTGGGTATGACGCTACAAGCTTGGCACACCTGTATTTGGGGAGTTTCTCCCATTCTTCTCTGCAGATCCTCTCAAGCTCTGCCAGGTTGGATGGGGAGCATTGCTGCACAGCTATTTTCAGGTCTCTCCAGAGATTTTCGATCAGGTTCAAGACAGGGCTCTGGCTGGGCCACTCAAAGACATTCAGAGACTTGTCTCGAAGCCACTTCGCCCCAGTCTGAGGTCCTGAGCGCTCTGGAGTAGGTTTTCATCAAGGATCTCTCTGTACTTTGCTCCGTTCATCTTTCCCTCGATCTTGACTAGTCTCCTAGTCCCTGCCGCTGAAAAACATCCCAACAGCATGATGTTGCCACCACCATGCTTCACCGTAGGGATGGTGCCAGGTTTCCTCCAGACCTGATACTTGGCATTCAGGCCAAAGAGTTCAATCTTGGTTTCATCAGACCAGAGAATCTTGTTTCACATGGTCTGGGAGTCCTTTAGGGGCTTTTTGGCAAACTCCAAGCGGGCTGTCATGTGCCTTTTACTGAGGAGTGGCTTCCGACTGGCCACTCTACTATAAAGGCCTGATTGGTTGAGTGCTGCAGAGATGGTTGATCCTCTGGAAGGTTCTCCCATCTCCACAGATGAACTCTGGACCATTGGGTTCTTGGTCACTTCCATGACCAAGGCCCTTCTCCCCCGATTGCTCAGTTTGGCCGGGCGGCCAGCTCTAGGAAGAGTCTAGGTGGTTCCAAACATCTTCCATTTAAGAATGATGGAGGCCACTGTGTTTTTGGGGACCTTCAATGCTGCAGAAATGTTTTGATACCTTTCCCCAGATCTTTGCCTCGACACAATCCTGTCTCGGAGCTCTACGGACAATTCCTTCAACCTCATGGCTTAGTTCTTGCTCGGACATGCACTGTCAACTGTGGGACCTTATATAGGGTGTGTGCCTTTCCAAATCATGTCTAATCATTTGAGTTTACCACAGGTGGGCTCAAATCAAGTTGTCAAGGATGATCAATGGAAACAGGATGCACCTGAGCTCAATTTCGAGTCTCATAGCAAAGGGTCTGAATACTTATGTAAATAAGGTATTTATGTTTTTATGTTTAATACATTTGCAAACATTTCTAAAAACCTGTTTGCGCTTTGTCATTATGGGGTATTGTGTGTAGATTGATGAGGGGAAAAATATATTTTATCAATTTTAGAATAAGGCTGTAACGTAACAAAATTTGGAAAAAGTGAAGGGATCTGAATACTTTCCGAATGCACTGTATTTACAAGAAAAGTCTCTTTCTTTCAGTTTTCACTGATCTTTACTTGCTAAGGCCATAGTCATTGTCCATAATTTGGTATGCTCTGTATGCCCTGCTATGCTCTGCTCTCACCCAAAGTCTATGCAATCTGCTCACAGAGTTTTTGTTGGTCGGCTCAGTTAATGTCGTTGGACTTTGAGGACCTTGCGAAACATCATCCGATAATCTGTCACCAGTGGTCATAAACACATTATTGAATGTACGCCTTAGCCGTCAGACCCCACGGCCAAGATAACCCAGGGATGAGGCCGCTGGAATGATCACCAGTTAAACACTCCCAAAATACGAGCCAAAGCCCCCACCTGAGCAAGGGTTGTCTCCAACAAGCAAACAGGAGGAGAGGCAGAGGGGAAGTGAGAGAGAGAGAAAGAGAGAGTGACAGAGAGAGAGACAGAGAGACCGAGAGCTAGAGAGTGTGAGGTGGTCAGGGTGGCAGAGTTCCCAACAGACGGACAATGGTATGGCATGGACTCTAGCGTCAGCTGTCGCTCATGCTGTGTCAAATATAAACCCAAATACCCTCAAGTCTACCCCTTGAAATACCCTCCCAAAATCACCCTGATTACAAAGTAGCATGTTCCAACAAATATGATTATGCATTACATAAGTGTGAAATGCACCTTCAAGAACACTGAACTGAAATGTAAAGCCTAGTGTAAAAGCATATATTCCCATCCCATCCCAGCTCAGGGTGTGAGGTGTGAGGTGGGGTGTGGCTGTGAAGGGTACAGATGAAGAGGGTATGTAGGACACAGTGTCTACACTCCTCCTGCTGCACACAGGCCCCCTGACAGGCCGAGCTATGAGGGAACGTCATGAGGAAGGAGTTTAATTAGGAGCAAGCCTCCAAAAGGGAGAGACAGGGACACAGAGCCAAGCAGCCTAGCAGTCTTTCCTCTCTCGCTTTCTTTCTCCATCGCTCTCTCTCTCTTTCAATCCCTCCTTTCCTCCTGTCTTGCTTCCTCTTTTTCTCATCTCTGTCGCTCTCTCTCTCTCTCTCTCTTTCAATCCCTCCTTTCCTCCTGTCTTGCTTCCTCTTTTTCTCATCTCTCTCGGCTCTCTCGCTCTCTAGCTCTCTCTCTCTCACTTCAAAGTGTGTCCAGGATAGCCCATTTTCTGCTTTGTTAGATTGATCTCCCCATCAATAAAGCTTTGGACTGTGGATCATGGAGCTTTTATCTCCAACTGCTATTAAGATGTCAGCATCTTGATCTTCGTGCCGAGGCGTTTTCTTTCTCACAATTATTATTTTGATGTAAGTGAGAATATGTGGGAATAAAACTGCATAAATGTGAGCATTTGACGTGAGTGAAGTGTTTTATCAGGATGTTTGCATTATCTACATATCCCCTGAACAGTTATTTATTTTCCTGCCATTTCTTGACATGGTGCATTTATCTTCCTTTCTATATCGACTATGACTACATTAGCGGGAAATTTTTTATATTTTTCTATCGTTTTTAGAAACACTGGCCACTGATTTCCTCGCTTTTGAGATGATGTCAGTGGATCTAAAACAGCAGGCTACGATTGGAGCAGCAGTGGATGATGGAGTAGACTGGGTAAGAGAGGCAGGGAACTAAGGAGAGAGCAATGGGGCGCAATGACAGAGGGGAAGAGAGGGAAGCAGGGAGTGGAGACACTTCCAGAGAGAGAGAGAGAGAAGGGCCTTCTATGGCCATGTCATGGCTGTGTTGCCTCTGATTGGCTGCTGCGTTGGATGGCAGCGCTTGGCAACAGGTGTGATGTCCCTGACAGGTGGGCATGTCTGGGATGAGTGGCATAGCGACCTTGCGCGGCGCATTTAAACTGCTGAGCTCCGGCGGAAAGCTAAGCCAGGGCCACATGCCTCAAAGTCATGTAACACTCCCACCCTCCATCCCACTGCCTCATCAACACCCCCAGGCAGGCCCACCGCCCCATCTCAGTTACCCCATATGGGTCTCACCCTTCCCCCAGTCCCCCCCCCACGGCGCTCACCCGCTCTTCCTAGAAAGGAAGTATCATCCACTGCATTATAACCCAGTGGAAGCCAGCCCGTAGAGGTGAAGCTACATACTGTGCCAATCCCTGGGTAAAAACAAGAGAGATTGCCTAAAATACCAGATTATGTCGACAAGAGGCCTATACTTCAGTTAATGTCAGTTTGATACTATACTACATAACTACACTAAAGACCAGAGAGAGAGAGATGAGATGTAGAGCCAGGAGAGAGAGGAGGGAGAGACCGAGGAGAGAGGACGAGGGAGAGAGAGGAGTAGATGAGAGAGAGACGAGAGATGGAGGCGAGCGACGAGACGAGGGAGAGTGATCAGAGGAGAGAGAGAGAGGAGAGAGCGAGAGAGGAGAGAGGAGAGAGAGAGAGAGAGAGAGAGAGAGAGAGAGAGAGACAGGCTAGTGAATCTTGACACTGTACCTCACCATGAGACACCTCCGGCATCAAACAGCCATCTCACAGACGAAGACCTCAGTTCACTAAAACCACACTTTAAAAATAGCTTTATTCTCCTACCATCAGAAATGACTGGGGTGTTATTTGTTTTATAAACAGGCAGCTCGCTCTCAGTCACTTCAATCCATTTACAGTAGTGCTCTTCTCTGCTTGAGACGACAAGCAGAGTGTCACACAAATGAGGAGAATAAGACAGTGAGATTAACTTATTTTAGCATCTCTCTCCCATTATCTCACTCTCTCTATTTGTCTCTAGCACTGAGACACACACACACATACGATCACCATCAAATCTAGGCTGCATTAAAGATAATGTAATTACAGTGGTGGGTGTGATAGGGAGGCCCAGATGAAAGCAGTGTGAAGTGCCGTCGTCTGCGCAGACAGGAGCGGGTCTCTGATACTCCTCCTGTAGACGAATCTCCTTTTATTAAAGCCAGCCTCTGTGGAGGAGAGAGAGAGGGAGGGAGGTGGGTCTTTGATGGAAGCTCTAACTATCAGTTGCTACACCTTTCATTTCACTACTTCACTCACTGTAAATCTAATCTACACTATATGGGACACATATCTGCACTCAACACTGCAGTGTGCGTATGCACACACACACAAACACTATCTTTCTCACCCTCTTACATCAGGCAGATCGCTCAAGAGTAGGGTTGCAAAGGGAGGGTATATTACTGGAAACTTTAGAAGTTTACCATTAAACTACCAGAATGTTGGTATCTTTCAAGGATTTTATGTAATCTATCACAAGACATCTAGTGGTCGTTTTGGGTACTTCAGATTATCACAGGTGTCTGTAATAGTCTCTGGCCCTCTGTGTGGCCTTATCACATTTAAAATATATGAAATAATTGAATAAGATGATTTTAAAATAAAATATAGAATGACAAAGCTGTAAAACATTATACGAAATATAAACCATCAACTTAGTGAATACTATTGGCATTTCAGCATGAAATGTCCTTTATAGATTTGTTTTACAAACTTGTATTTATTTTACTATGTCAATATGTATTTGTTGTCAATGTTTTGGCATCAAACTGGTAGCAGTTGTGAAGAAAGTCAATAGTTAGAAGAGTTGCAGAGTTAATTGAAAATATGCCATTGCTGATTAGATGCTTTGTTCATTAATTAGGCTATTTTCTTGAACCATATGGTCTATCTACTAGAAACTAATGGACAATATGGACACAGATATAATAAATTAATGCTATACTGTATATGAATAATAAAATAAAATATGTGTGGACACTCGTTTTACTTATTTTTTGTTTTAACCCTACCCCAAACCTTAACCCTTACATTAACTAATCGGAATGAGTGCCTAAACATAATGTTTTAACCCTATCCAAAACTTGGATCAGAAGGTTGTGTGTTCGATCCCAGTGGTGGACACTAGTTTCTTTTTCCAAAACCTTAACCCTTAACTTTCAAAATGTGACGTTTGGAGCAACTTTGAAATTTGATGTTTGGAGAAACGTGGATAAACGTCTAATTCTGCAGTGAGACTATGAGAGCTTGTTGCTTACATACCTTAACACACAAATTAAAACACACATACTGTAGCTACACAAAAACAACACTTGCAGAAAAACTATGTTATATAGAATTGATTCCTGTATCACTACCACTTTAGTGAGATACTGTATATCTTGATCTACCGAGGGAAAGAAAGGCAGCTCTTCTCTTCCCTTTCAACCTTCGGTGGCAGTGAGAGAGAGCGAGAGAGCGAGAGAGGGGAGAGGGGGGAGGGGGAGTGGGGGGGAGTGGTGGGGGGGACACTGTACTGTGGCCACAGAAACAGGACCAGGTGGCCATCAGGTGGCCAAGAGAGAAATTGCTGCCTGTATACACAGTCTGTCAAAGACACACTCTTACACTACCACAGACCTGCTACACACAAACACAACATACACATACACACACATCTGTAGCCATCACAGTCCCCATTCCGGCCTCCTCAGCTGCCAATGTCAGAAATATGTTTCATTTCCATGTTCTTGACTGACTGTGTCTCTGTGTAATTGCAATGTTGATCGTCCCCATGGCGCCGCATTTGAGAGAAGAGTCTGGGGATTTTATGTTTTGTTAGTGAACGTTATTAAATCATTTATGTTCTCCTGAGTGTTTAGCTACATGTTAACTTGTTCAAAAGGATAGCACTATATCCCCATCCCACCCCACTCCATCCAATCCCACATTGATGGACATGGGAATAGATCCTGTCAAAGTACTTTATGCCATACCAAGGACCACATCCCATTTAGCCCATTAGTACCCACTTTAACCTCTATGACACTTTAGACACACTCACTCACTCACTCACTCACTCACTCACTCACTCACTCACTCACTCACTCACTCACTCACTCACTCACTCACTCACTCACTCACTCACTCACTCACTCACTCACTCACTCACTCACTCACTCACTCACTCACTCACTCACACACACACACACACACACACACACACACACACACACACACACACACACACACACACACACACACACACACACACACACTTTGTTATATATCTCATTAATTCCTTTGGTCAGTTGAGTCCATTCTCAGAATCCATTCTTACAAGGGACCAACCCACATTCCTCCCCTGCTCTACTCTGGGTCCTGTTCCCCTTCCCTTCAACAATGTTGTGCGACTGCTCTGTTTGCAGACGTTGAGAAAGAAGGGTCTAAACGGCTGTGACAGCCCTGACCCCGACGCAGACGACTCGGTCGGCCACAGCCCCGAGTCTGAGGACAAGTACAGGAAAATAAACGAAGACATTGATCTGATGATCAGCAGACAGAGACTGTGTGTAAGTACCGCCCGGCACTCCCTGAGCTTTCTCCTCACCCATCTCTCTCTTTCTTTTCTTTCTGTCTCTCTTTTTCCATCCGTCTGTCTGCTGTCCATCTGTGGGGGTTTTGGTGGGACCCGGCAGGCATTAAGCAAGAAGGAGAACAAAGGTGGTGAGAGCCCGGAGCTCGAGTCTGCTCTTACCCTCACCCCACGCACTGAGGAGAAATACAAACAGATAAACGAGGAGTTTGATCATATGATCAAAACTCATAAGATACCTGTAAGTACTGGACATACACAGTGTGCAGTCTCAGCTGGCTCAATAACAGACGCTGAGTAACATGCATTCAAATTAACCCACCTATTAACCCAGCATTGTGTGGCACTGCACTGCACGTCTGGAGAAAAAAACACAAGATAAGACTTCCTCACGCTTTGAAGCACCTATATTTACCTGTATTCATAGCAGCTAACTCATCTAAGCGTCATTACTTTAGTGATTTAGTTCAACTATAGTGCATGCTTCGCCTCCCACACTCTTTAACCTCTGGCTCCCTCTGTGACATCACACCTTTAACCCATTACCCATGATCCCTTGCCTGGCTCTCAGGGTAGGTGTGGTTTGCATGCGGTTCCCCACAGATGCTAAGGCTCGAAAAACACAGGCACATAGGCACACACGCACACGTGCGCAAATTCACACCCTACTGTATTCCCTCATTACATTTTTACTCACTGTAAAAAATTTAAAATAAAATAAAAATCTAGTTGATTCAGCTAATTATTATTAAGTAACTGGTTCCACAGACTTTTTTTGTTTACTCAACTTTTGGTCAAAGTGTTCCCTGAACACAAAAAAAAATGGTTGGCCCAAACTTGACTCCAACTTGAGAAAACGTTGGCAGAAATTCCGTCAACTTAAAATGATGTGTTTGCTCAACTTGTCTCATACATTCATTCAACTACAAATTATTAGTTGGGCATCTTACCTCAAAAAAAGACTGTGGAACTAGTTACACAAACAGTGCTTTTAACATACAATGTTTTCAATGTACATACATTGCATTGTGCATCTTCGTTTGTACAGTAGTTATTATTTATATTTCACCTGGGATTTGAACTCACAACCTCTTCTTCATGGCATTCCGATCTTCCTGTTACGCCACCATGTTTGTGTCAATTATCAGTTAATTATCAGTTATTCTCTCATCATTGCTTTGTTTTACTTAAGCAATTTTTGGTGTGGCATAATACTCTGTTTTAATGTTACTCCTTAAACACTATGATAAATAAAATAGTTTTCCTGGAGTGTACTTTTAACAGAGCTGAGATTTACTTTGAAGAGCAAAGTGTAGCAATACAGATGAAATCAGTTATTGACACAGACATGGAGTCGTAGCAGGAATATTGGAATGCTGTGAACCAATACGTTTTGAGTTTAAATCCCAGGTGAGGACATTTATACATGAGTATAAATGAACATGCACAACGTAATCATGTGTGTCAAATATGTACGTTGAAAACATTGTATTAATTGTTAAAAGCACTGTGTGGGTGTAACTAGTTCCACAGACTTTTTTTTAGGTAAAATGCCCAAATATAAATTTCTAGTTGATTGAACATATGCGACAATTTGAACAAACATATAATTTTAAGTTGACATCATTTTTGCCTATGTTTTCTCAAGTTGTCATTCAATGACCACTTAGTTGTGACTCTAGAGATGGATCAGTGTCGACCACAACTTCAACTGCACAGAGTAATCAAAGGTCTTAGCAGTTAGTCAGTCCCAAACGACCACAAAATGAATGCCACTCTCAATGGAAGCCAAGTGTGCTCCGCTCTCCATACAAATGCCCATATTGGAATGGTTAGCATTATAGCCATGGAGAAAGAGATAATTCCACAGTAGATCATCGAAAGGGAACAATAGCCTCTGGCAGAGTACAGTAGAGGGGGTGGAGGGGGGGGGTTGTGGTTAGAGGCCGGGGTGGGGGTGAGGTTGGGTTAGGGTTAGGGTTTGGGTGGGGAGAGCAGTGGCAGTAAGGGTGTCTGCACACAACAAGTGGCAGTTCAGTATGTGGTCATGACGTCTGCCTAGCACAGGGCCTCTGGATCGCAGGGGAGGATGAGTGAAAACAGGAAGGATGGCACCACTGAAATGACAGCTTGGAGAGGGGGCCCACTGTACGTACACCCACACACACACACAAACACACACACACACACACAAACTGGCCCCCAAGCTTACTCAACCGCAATGCAAAAGGGGTTGAGGAATGGAACAAACGTTCCAAGATGAAAGACATTATGAACATCTTTAAACATGAAATAGAATAGGACGTGCTCACTTTTGAGCTATTAAAGAAATCAACCAGACAACCATGACTGTTGGCTGCATAGGGCTTCAGCAAAAGCACAAAAAAAAAGTGTGTGAGAGAGGGAGAGACAGCAATGAAAAAGAGGTGAATGTCAAGGATTATGGACCCCAAATTATATTTGCGTGGCTAAAAGGGAAAAGTTAGAGGGGAGAGAAAATTGAAAAAGAAGACGAGGTAGAGCTCGTATCCGATTTCCCCTGGCTGATGTTCTCACTGATGAGCCGTTCCATCGCTCTGGGACACATGGCTACAATTAGGGCTATATATTCTACTTCCTTAAGCTAACATCCAGGAGCGACCACTTCCAGGGCACTCCCAAGGTTAAGCCCTATGGTGGAGTGACATGATAAATATGACAAATCAGTCGCTTGGGGCCTAGCTACCAACCAACCTCATCCACATGCTGCTAGTCTTACCTGCCACTTAAAAAACACTTGATCTCGACATGACAGAGACATACCGGTACCTCTATTTTAGTAAAAACCTGATAATGGTGTTTTTATAATATACATTTACCAAAATTATAAATAGAATTCCAACATCTTGCTCCACAAAATTGAGCTCATTTAGAATGAGTACATTTGTAGTGAATGATCTCAGCTCAAGCATGGCTGTTTGTGGTATCCCAGAATGCCTTTGCTTCCATATCTGCTTCAAAGGGATCTGTTTATTGGAATGAGAATGCAGTGACCACACAGTGAAAAGTTGTTGTTGTGTTTTCTGAGATTTCCTGTTCTTTTCCCTGGAAGTCGCTATATTAGGATGTCACACTGTTAATCAAAGGGTGAAACAGGCACAGAGAGTCAACGATGGGGACAAAGAGAGACAAGTATATTCACGTTGTAGATGGTGGTTGACCCATTAGAGATGCCACTGTGGGAAGAGACAGTCCACATTCCACATACACTTTTTTTCTCAATCCTGGGTGACAAGTAAAAGTCCCTTTTAGTTGTGATATTATCTGGTCTTTGACCTTTTTTGTATGACTGTTCTTCTTTCTTTCTCTTTTTATCACTTTCTTTCTCTCTCTCACTGTTTCATTCTAGTTGTGATATTTCTCAGCCATATGATTGTAATTCTGTAAATTGATTATGTGTCTACCTCCCTTTAGCATTGGATTCTTTTATTTCTCTCTTCCACTGTAATGTTTAACAGTGATCTCTATGACAGTGTATTATATTGTTGTGTTCTATTGTTTTGTCTCTCTGTTGTGTTTTAATCATACATTCTTCCTCTTTTTTCTCTCTCTCAGCAGGGTGTGCCCCCCTCCAACTACGAGATGCCGGTGTCCATCCCCGTTAGCAACCAGAACAGTCTCATTTACAGCCACCCAGGAGGTTCCCTAGGCAACCACAACCTGCTGCCCCTGGCACACCACATGCAGAGGAACAGCATGTCCCCCGGTGTCACACACAGACCTGCCAGTGCAGGTAACACACAAACAAACACAAACTCTCTCAAAAGAAGCCCTCCATAACCCTTCAGGGAAAAGCATCAGCTCTACTGACTGATATTTCATTTAAAGGAAGGTGGCTCAATATTACATTCAAACCAAGTCAGCAATCCCCTCCATTTACTGTGAGGCGCTATCCTGGGGATGTCAGGCCATATGTATAGGTTTTAAGTTGCCGGTGACATATGCACATGAGGCCTGTCGGTTTGTTATTGTTGTCTGAAGGCTCTATTTTGTCCCTCTGGGCAGTAGCCTGCTGCCCACACCCTCACCCTGTCATTAGGCCTGGATGCACCGAGCGCCAGCACAAACTAAATATGAGTTTTGGCGCTGCCGCCATCACACTAACCGCACATGCTCACGGCCCTCCTACTCCTCCACCTCGCACGACTTAAAAATACAAATGTGTCATTTTTCTTGGACGCTGTCGTCCAGTATCCACTCGCAGTGTCCGTTTGCCTAGAACGTATGGTTTGTTGGAAAGCTGTGGCATTTGGGTTCATACACACACACACACACACACACACACAAACACACACTCACAGAGGTAGACACACATCAGCCCTGGCACAAAAGAAGAAGGGCTGGTGGTTAAAGTAAGTTAGTCAGAGTGTCACTGAAAGGCGAGAGAGGAGGAGGGAGCTGATGGGATGTGGATGGAGATATGTGGGTGTGAAGGAGGGAGGTCTCTCCTCTAATGTTTTCCTCTTTTCCTCTCATCCCCCTTTCATCTTTCAGGTGGCCTCATGGGTGCTGACCTCACCACTGGTGTGGGCACCAGTGCAGGTAAGGATGAAAATCCTCCTTCTCACACACATAGATATACACACACACGCACAGGGCACCCACTCTCCCACCCGTGTCATAAAACTCATGACTAATACGAACCTAAACTAAAATGGAGTTCCTGTCCATGATGTGTTGATTTTAATGGTTCCTCAGGGAATGTTTGTCCAGTGCTGGGTCCGTGGCACATCCTGGTCTCGGCTCAGCAATTCTCTAACAAGTGTAAAAAGGAAATAAAAGAATATTAGAGTGGGTAGGAAGATATTCAATCACAAAAGGGAAGGTTCTGTGTGTGTGAGTTTTAGGGACCTTAGGGATCAGAGGTGTTATACCTATGTTATTATTTATCCTTCTGTCTTTTGCTCTCTCTTTCTGTAAGTGTGTGTGTGTGTGTGTGTGTGTGTGTGTGTGTGTGTGTGTGTGTGTGTGTGTGTGTGTGTGTGTGTGTGTGTGTGTGTGTGTGTGTGTGTGTGTGTGTGTGTGTGTGTGTGTGTGTGTGTGGGTGTGTGTGTGTGTGTGTGTGTGTGTGCGTGTGCGTGTGTGTGTGTGGCATGTTTTAATGAGCCGTGCAGCATCACACTGCATTATACGACCCTTTACCCACTGTTTATTTCCTCTATCTTGACAACACACATACTTCTCATTTTGTTTGGCTATGTAAACTCTTTCATAGGCTATCTACTATCATATGTCTTGAGCAAAATACATTTAACACTGGCGTGGCTCGCCATGCCATAATGTTTCTGTGGAAAGCAAATCAGTCCATGTGTATGTGTGTGTCTGCATTTATTTGCATGAGTTTGAATGGATTTACATGTGTGTTGGCGAGGTTATATGCGGCCACAATTTTACTGTACAGATGATATTCAATGGTTTGTCTTATAGTCAGCTAATAGGAAAAGCCCTCAAGGATAGGGCACAGACAGCAGAAGGAGAGGGGGGAGTATTAAACTGGTTCTGGGGGGTTCGGGGGGTCAAGAGAGCACAGCTGGGCAGCCCTGTCTGGTCCCCAGGGCTCCCTGGTAGGGGTCAGAGCCCGGTCCCTCTGTCTGGCCCCTCACACACACACACACACACACACGCACACACACACACACACACACACACACACACACACACACACACACACACACACACACACACACTCACACACACACACACACACACAACAGATCCGTTTGTTGTAGCGTGTGTTCTGTCGGCAAGCGTGCTCCGGAGCGTGCTTCAAATGTAGCCTTTGTGTCGCGGCGGCGATGAACAGAGGCGCTCTGTGAGGACCCAGCGCACTCAGCTGCGGTGAAAACGCCATGGAGAGAGATTCATGTGGAACTAAAAAATATTCCATTCAAGTCCCTCTTAAATCTTACAGGGGGGAAAACCCCATGATGAATATTCAGCCATGCATGTGTGCAGGGAGAGAAACAGGGAGACACAGATGGAAGCGTTCTGTGAAGCCGGTCATAGGTTTTAATGATGGTCTGGGTTGTTTGTGACTCAGTGTGAGGTGGCCGCTGGTGCAGAGGTTATTTGTTCGCTTTTGCTTTGATAAGCAGACAGTCAGTGGTGAGTGTTTTGGCCTGGTGTTCGCTGCAGATGTTTTTTTTCAAATGCTCCTCGTTCTCAGACAAACACACACACAGCTCCTTGTGCCACTCATGCCACGGGTGCCAGCATTGTTAGCCAGATTTGATTGATAAGCGACACATGACACAGTTTGATACTGGAAGGTCCAGTTGTCACGTCCTTGGTATAAAAGCGGTGTGGCAGGGACGTGCGTGTCTATGTGTGTGTGTGTGTGTGTGTGTGTGTGTGTGTATGTCCATATGTGTGTTTGCGTTTTTACATCTCTTTGTGAGTGTGTCTCATCTGTCAACCCCTTGAGAGAGAGTTAGATGGAGAAAGAAAAGGAGAGAGAGCAGGCTGATGAAGGGTGTCCCAGTCCCAGTTTTTGAACACCTTCCACGTCCATTTGTGTATTTACAGCATGTAGCTGTCAGCAGCGGTGTGATCTCTGCTCTGCCTGCTTGCTTCACCGTGTAGGAGAATGAACCAGCCCCTGTCACCTCTCACCTCATTCATTCACATATCTACACAGGTCACAGACAAACGCACACACACACACATACACTGAGTGTAGAAAACATTAGGAATACCTTCCTAATATTGAGTTGCGCCCCCTTTTGCCCTCAGAACAGCCTCAATTCGTCAGGGCATGGACTCTACAAGGTGTCGAAAGCGTTCCACAGGGATGTTGGCCCATGTTGACTCCAATGCTTCCCACAGTTGTGTCAAGTTAGCTGGATGTCCTTTGGGTGGTGGACCAATCTTGATACTCAAGAGAAACTGTTGAGCGTGAAAAACCCAGCAGCATTGCATTTCTTCACACACTCAAACTGGTACACCTGGCACCTACTACCATACCCCAGTCAAAGGCCATTAAATATTTTGTCTTGCCCATTTACCCTCTGAATAGTACACATACACAATCCATGTCTCAATTGTCTCAAGGCTTAAAAATCCTTCTTTAACCTGTCTCCTCCCCTTCATCTACACTGATTGAAGTAGATTTAACAAGTGACATCAATAAGGGATCATAGCTTTCACCTGGATTCAACTGGTCAGTCTATGTCATGGAAAGAGCAATGTTTTTTACAGTGTAGATATATACAAACTAGACCCTGGCACAGCTCTACAGAAACATGCACTCTGTCCTGTTTGCCCATCCTCTCGTCCAAGACAAGAGCCTTGAGACAACGAAACAAGGCCTATTCTTACAAAAAAAGCTCTATGGTGCCTGTATCGTTGTCCATAGCCTGCATAGATACAGTAGAAGGTGTTAGCTAGCTCGCATGACACCATAGTTCAGTTGGCGGATTCAGATTTCAATACACGTTCGGCCAAACCTCAACGGAAGAGCCTGTGTATGGAAAGTGGGATGGAGCATACACGTTAGACCACAACAGGACATCAGAAATTGTTCAGTAACAGTTAAATGTACATTGGTTTAACCACACCAGCCATGTGAGTCTGTGTGTGTGTGTGTCTTGTGTCTTTTGTGTGTGTGCGTGTGTGTGAGCGTGTGCGTGTACGTGTGCGTGTGCGTGTGTGTGTGTGTGTGTGTGTGTGTGTGTGTGTGTGTGTGGGGGGCCCAATAGGCACATGTTAAAAGTTCAGAGATGCACCTTTAGCCAGTGTGTTAGCGTACAGTCACAGTTGGCATCCCCAGACGATCTCTGCCTAGATAAATAGCCTTCACCTTTGTATCTCCACTTCAAATCGGATGTTGTCGTTGACTCTTATCTGGGCAGCAAGTGTTCATTTTGGTGCTTCCTCAAAACGGTCGCTTCTGGTCTGCCTCAACTCGCTGCTCTACTCTGCAGCGTGAGGTGGTAGCGGGAGAAGAAGAAGGGTTTGACTGTCAGTGTCAGTGTCGGTGACGATCATGTCTTAGACTCACAGAGCTGCTGCACGTCTGTAGTCAGACGTTTGCTACTGTATTAGCCTATCTGTAGCCATGTTGCTAAACCCAAGTGTCTTCAGTTCAGATCAACCTACTATAAACCAGTCACTAGCAGCTGTAGAGAACCTCTAGCATCCATATCACTTGTCAATTGCCTGCCTTAGGTAATAAAGCCCATCTCCTGGGCTATAGCCAGTCTCCAGTCATATTTAGAGCCTGAGCTGTTGTCCTAAAATGGCTGCCTGAAATCCCCTCCTCACTGTACGCTCAGCCTCTGGGCCGGGAGCTATGAATCAGATGGGCTGTACAGTAACAGCCTTACCTTGACTTGACCTTACATACATTCTCCATGGGCTTGGGTTTGAACATTGATAACTGTCATGTTCAAGTTTTTTAGTCTGGGATGTTTTGGACAGTCTCCGTTTTTCTACACGTAATTCTCTGATATTTTCTAGAACCGAGTCTTTTCCGGCTGTTTTGATTCGCTATTCATGTCTCTCCACATGGGCCCACTCCACAGCACAATAGTCCAGCCATGAGGATGAGAGCGAGGCAGGCAGAGCTGATGAGGCAGCTGGATGGAGTGGCTCTAGGAGAGGCTCCCATACAAAACACACAGGTGCATCCATACACTTGCTCTGTACACACGTACGCTGTCATACACAGGCACACCTCAACGGACACATGCATTCATCATTGACATGTGCAGTAAGTAATAGACACATTGAAAGTCACACACTCGGACAAGTACTATTTGACACACACACACACTCTGACACTATACTAACACAATTTTACACATAGGGACCTCATACATGTATGCACACACACTGTTTTTCTAGTTGTTGTTTTTTGTCACAGCCTCATTTTCTTTCACCGCTAGCGGTCGTTTACTCTTCAGATTGTTCAAATTGAGCTTTCGAGACTTTTCATTTTCAAACAACAAAAACCTTGCTCTCAAATTAAACAAAGATCAGCGGGGGAAATTGCCCAGGAAGACATCTGCGACTCATTTTCCCCTGGAGTATATGATTAGGAAATTCATTTATGTCTAACGTATAATTCCTGCCCCTCTTTCAAGTGGGAAACATCCATATAACGCTCTCTGTTCTACCCCTAGGAATGGGGGAAAAAAGCCGGCTGTGGGATTGGGTTAGAAACAAAGCGTATACACTGCTCACTCTCTCTCGTTTTTAATGGGATGTTGCTGGGAGGGTGCCCCACTGTTTTGTGTGTGGCGTGGGTGCTAAACTCAGTCCTCCAGTCAGTCTGTCAGAGGAGGAATGTGGATTGGGTGTCTACCCCAAAGCAGGGTCTTTGTCTAGAAGAGGCAACACGTGTTTAGCGCTGATGGCCAAATGATGGGTGCTGTCCCTCTGTGGTCTCCAAGGCCCTAATTTGATGTTTTTACACAACTCACTGACATTTCTCTAAGAAAGGAAAGAGTATGTCCTCACAAACCAGCCAAATCAGGCAGAGATGGGAGAATTGTGTTGGATCACTGGGTGAAATTGAGTTCTCTCTCTGGCTCTAGGACAGTAGCATCTCCACTCCTCCACTAGTTGAAAAATGTGAATATTTGAAGTAATGGTTTCTTCAGTACAACATGCTACTCTGTAGGATAACAGTAATGACGGTCTTTTGAACAGTATAATTGATGGCTCCCTCGCTCTCGTGTCTCCCTCTCTTCTCGTTAGGCAACGGCTACGGGAACCACCACCGTAACTCGCCCGGTCTGCTGGCCTCTCCGGGTAGCATGAACAAGAGCATGCAGGCCAAGTCTCCCCCACCCATGAACCTGGGCATGAACAACCGCAAGCCAGACCTGCGTGTGCTCATCCCCCCTGGAGCCAAGAACAACATGCCCTCCTTGGTGAGTCGCTCATTCACTTTACCCCCAGTCCTGATCCCATCCCTCTTCACTCCTGTTTGTCCTTAATCTTTTTCACATATGTCCCTTCAGTTGATTTTCTTTCTGTGTGTTATATTGTCTTCTTGATTATTTGTTTTAAGTGGTTGAAGCTGTCCCATACATATGCTGTCATAAGTTATGATTTTAACAAGATAGATAGACTGTTAGTGGAGTACAGTAGTAATAGTACATTTCCTTTTTAAATGAGCTCCTGTTTAGTAACCTCACTCCTAGCAGTTCCATCCTTACAACCACACCCAGCTGCTACCTCCATCCAATCAAACTAATTTGAACTTATCGCCCTCCCGTTTAATGCCGTCAGTCTGAGGATGTCGATCTGCTATTGGTAAGTTGGCCTGTCACTGAAATTAGCAACCAAAAATAATAACAATCTCCAAACACAGTAATCATCCACTATCCTCAGTTAGATAGAAGGGAGACCAGTCATTATGCTTTAACAATAGAAGTACATCAACCCTAACTGAACCAGTGCCTTATAATTCTCTGGGTGTAGTTGAGTTGCTCCCAAGAGCTGATCTAAGGTCAGTGATTACTTTTTAGGATGATAAGGTCAGGATTGAAGTAAAGAGTAAGATGATCCTTGTTGTCCACAAAGGGGCAACTTCCACCTCAAGCGATCTGCTGCATGCGTTGTCCATGTAGGGATGAAGGAGGGCGTTCAGCCAGGGCCTAGTGTGACACCTAGTGGTATGTCTGAGTCATTGCACCCTGTCATCTTTCCTCTCTCATCCCCCTCATTTCAACCCCTTCACTCCCTTCTTTCCTTCTATGTCTGATTGAGGGGCATTGCATGGCACCTTAGCATACATGCTTCCCCTCTCAGAACCAGGAAATGAAAGGCAACAAAGGGAACACTTTTATATGGCATTAAACCGCCATAATTTCTGCACCACCCTGCCACAATAAAGTGCCTTTCCTAGCCGTCGATGTTTCTGTTGCCGTGGAGACCAGTGGGGTTACTATAGAGACGGCGGGTCCTCAGAAGGGGTGGTAAATGACAGGGTTGGCAGGGTTCAGCAGTGCCGCGTGTCAAGTGATTAATTTCCAAGAAGCTGGCATCTTGTTCATTCTTCTAGCATCTGCGGAGCAAAAAAAACAAAACAACTAAGTCTATTTTTATTATAATTTTTTTTATTTGGTGCTCATGCTTTTCCATCTCTCTCTTTTTCTCTTCCCCTCATAGAACCAGAGAATAAACAACTCCCAGTCTGCACAGTCATTGGCCACCCCTGTGGTTTCTGTAGCAACGCCCACCCTACCAGGGCAAGGCATGGGCGGTTACCCATCAGCCATCTCCACTTCATACGGTACTGGTAGGTACCACTGCTTTTACACATGTTCTACACAAACAGACACAGGCTTTGTCACATATACACTCTACGTCCGTGTGTGTGTCCTTGTTACTACATACAGGGTATTAATGAGTCTGGAAAGTGAACTATAAATGTCACACACTCGCCCCACTATTTACATTTTTATTTGATGATTTATTTGATTCTTATTGATTTGATAAGATTTGTATCTCATACACAGATTTACAGGACTTCACAGACATGATAGTTAATACAAGCATGCTCATGATCAAATAAATATAGAATATTAATGAAAAATCACGTAACAATAGGTTGTCCGGCCCTGAAACATGGCTTCATCATAATGTGATGTTAAAAACTTCCACCAACCTAACAGCAGGTGGTGTTGTTCACACACATATATCCCTCACTGCAACACTCCCACACCCACTTTGTGACTCAATGGAAGCTGTGTTGACCCAGCAGGAAAAAATGTATAGGGAGAAAGACATTGGCTATTATACTATTAAATTCAGTAGCCATAATTCAAAACTAATGTACTTTACAAACCTGTTTGAACTGGCCTGAACTGGTTTTGACTGTTTGCCTTCTCTCTCTGTGTATGTATGTGTAGAATACTCGCTGAGCAGTGCAGACCTATCCTCCCTGTCCGGCTTTAACAGTGGTAGCTCCCTCCACCTGGGCTCCATGAGCGGTTGGCAACAACAACACCTCCAGAACATGCAGCACTCGGCCCTCAGTCAGCTAGGGTGAGTACATGGAGATACACACAAGCAGTAGACAGATCAGAGAGAGCAGGGACGGATATTGAAATGAAGCTTGTTGAGGCAACTATAGTGAAAATACTGATACACATTGATATTTTTTGACTAGATATGAGATATGGATGTGAAAATATGGAGTAAACGTGTGTGCTTGTGTGTAACTGCGGGTGCATGATCATGTTTCTTCACTCTGTAACCCCTTGCGTTTCCTTTCCTTCCTACAGAAATTGCAATAGCAATCACTTATGTCAGAGTTCAAATCTCTCCCTGCCTTCTGCTCAAAGCCTCCACATCAAGTCCGAACCTGTTTCTCCTCCTAGAGATCGCACCAGCAGCACACCGGGGGGCTACGGCATCCATCAGCAACATAATCCCTCGTCCCGCCAGGACTCGGGCCGCTCCCCTGTCGACAGCCTGAGCAGCTGCAGCAGCTCCCACGAGGGCAGCGACCGGGACGAGCACAGGAACGAGTTCCACTCTCCACTGGGACTGTCTCGGCCCGCCCTGGACGAGCGTGAGAGCCCCTTGGTCAAACGCGTGCGCCTGTCTGAAGGATGGGCCACATGATAGCACAGCGCTGGCCGTTTCCCCAGCCCTGCGATGTAATGATGCCTCGACACCATCGCCCTCTATATCACCACGCGACACGTCACTCACCTCCAGACCCCATGCTCTCTCTCTCTTTTTCTCTCTCTCTCTGTCTCATTGGAGGAAGGGGGGCACCCTTTTTCTAAATGTAACTGTAATGTTTTCTTTTTTTCTTTTTGCAGAGTGTGTGTGCTATACATATTGAAGTTCTATAAAGCAGTGGGGATGGGACTGGGGATCCAAGGTAAAAGGGGTGTTGGTTGGGGTTAGGGATATTTTTGGTGGGGAACTATGCATTATTTGTGCCGTGTGTGAAAAAAAGATATGCATATATATTTACACGTGTGTGTATGTGTAAATATATGCAAATCAAAAAAAGAAACAAAAAAAAGTCAGGTACTCTGTTTTGTAAAAGTACTTACAACTTGCCTCAGTGATAATCAGTGACTAGAGGAAAATCGAGAGCATATGTTGCTGAGTGAACAGCCTAGCACTTGAGTTGGTCAACCAATACATGTGTACAGAGTCAATTTCATTGCTACCTTTCTCCGCAGTTCTCCCTTGCAAAATGTATGTTACGATAGATGATGTCATGTTGCAGGTTCAACGTATTTATGTAAATAGAGGGTCAGGAGCAAAGGGGAGGAGTCAAACGTGGCTATACATTACAGATTATTCACACACATAATGAAAGCTAATATGCAACATTTGAAGGATTGTACAGGTATACCCGCAGACCCATTGGTAGATGTGAGGAACCAAGATGAGAGAACCCATGCTAAACATAAAGCTCCTCATCAAACATGGAGCACATTGATAGGACCATCCTTTTACCCAAGAGCCATGTTAGTTGAATCAAGAAACCCTGGGTCTTCATTCAATATTCAGTATTAAAAAAAACTAGTGTACGATACACTTGCTTATATTTTCATATGAAAGGAATACAATGCAAAGCATTTTTGTGGCTTTTTGTAGTTTCTATAAGCCAGAATGTGTTTTTTGATAGCTTTGCTAATATAAGATGGATAGTCCGATGAGAAATGAAAAACCCTAAGCCATGAAAACAGACTGAGAACCCATGCTTTGCTGAACTGTTTTCTCTTTGTAGAGGTTTCGTTTTTAAACGTGTATTTCTAATTATATATAATAATGATAATATTAAGAATCTTTAAAAAAAAATCTGTGAAATTAACATGCTTGTGTATAGCTTTCTAATATATAAATATATATAATAATGTTTTTTCTTTTTTTTTCTTAGTGGAGTTTTCTATGTGCAGTTGCACATATTGTCTGTTTTTTGTTTTATTTGAGCCTGGGACAGTGCTGTTCAGAGGCGCATTTAGTCTAACCTTGAGAACCAGCTGAACAGAGTTGTCTGTGTTTGTGAGTAAATTAAGAAAGATAGACCTCTTTGCTGACAAACAACATATTTGTGGAAACTGTTTGGGGATTGGAACTGGGGGTTAATGCCCATGCAGGTGACATGCGTCATGCCAAATGAACGTGTTTGACATCACCCATGATGTGTCATGATCCTCATAGTTAGGATTCTACAACAATACCCTCCAACATCCTCTTTGATGGGACTTTGGCCCACGTATTCTGTATATTTTGAACATTTTATTTAACCTTTTCACTACAAATCCTTTGCCAATTATCACAATGAGACCCAAACGTGTGTGCAGGACAGCACATAAATCCAGATTAAAATATTGTTTTGATAGTTCCAAATTGTATTTGTGTCAAATTATCAAGCTGTATATTGGTGGTCTATTGTTAATCACGAGGTGTTGTGTCATATTTGACCCCACTCAGTCCAATCACCAGCTCAGTGTTCCACAACCTCCTCAGCAGTGTAACATGAAGTATTCAAACAAGATGATGTAGGAAAAATGTACCTACTGGTTTGGGAGAAGTACAAGAGTTGATTTCAGACAAATATAACTTTGTGTAGTTTTTTTTTTTTGTTACATGAACTAGCCACATTTCTCTCTGCCTCTCACTCCTCGGTCTGTTGTCACTCAAGTGTTATGGTATTTCTATGTGCATATTTCATGCGAGTTCACTATGTTGTTACTGTATACAGTCTGTGTAGTCAGAAACAGGGGCAGAGCCCCTACCTTGTTCTTTCTTTTTTTATTCAATACAAATGGTTTAAAAAAAAACATGATATTTCAGGCAGCATATGTGTGGAAAACCAAAGCCAGTGGCATTTCTGTAATATTATTCAACTTTTATTTTCACATTCATTTATGGTTATTGCAAGCATTGGAAAAAAACAACAATAAAAGCATTTGCTCAAAATGTAGAATTGGTTTCCCATTTCAATTTGAATTGGTCATACTGTTGGTCATACTGTTCATAGTTGTTAGAGGTTTAAAATGTATGCACTCACTAACTGTAAGTCGCTCTGGATAAGAGCATCTGCTAAATGACTAAAATGTAAATGTAAATGTTTAGAATACCATTACATGTCCTCCTTGAGACATGGTAGGTAGAGTAGATAGTACTTAGTAACTATAGTGTCGTTTTTTCAGAATGCATTTCCTTATGAACTGCATTTAAAATCATAAAACAAACGTGTCATTTTTAGTATATTCATTGATTCATTGAGTATGATGGAAAAGTATGTTTTCCAAATCCCACTTTTGTTAATTTAGCTGATTGAGTTACTATGCTGTTTGTGTCACTTGCTCACTAATGAATTATGGAAAACACAACACCAAGAGCTCCCTTTTTGTTTTTAGCTGTGGTGTGCTTTTTGAGGTGTTGGTGGCGTTTATTGATATTGTGTAACCAAAGACATTGAGCATGCTTGATTTATTTCATATTTTATTTTGGTTATGGATTTGAAGCATCTGTATTTCTTCATCTGTTGATCAATTTGTAATGCCATATTCTGTATTAGCCTCTATACTGGTACCTCTAATTGACCCAGCCCAGTACCTCGGCTACCATTTGATCAGTCACGTCTAGTGCAAAGGGTATGGTGATATACATACACCATGTGGTATACCATTGCCAACTATTACCAACTATTTACTTGGAATTATTTGGTTGCTCCACCATGTTTGTGGTTTTCTTTATTTTAGTTGTATCCATTAAAAAAGGGGGAAATAATGTGTAGCTAAAAATGCTTAACAGTCTGTAGTATCTTATGTAGCTTCTAGAAATCTAAACGTTGGGGAGGTCTGAAGTTAGTGTTTGGAACGCAAAAGAAGCTTTCAGCGGCATAAGCTGGCCTTTGTTGCCACTTGAAGATGTTATTAAATTAAAGCCACATCTCTGTATCTCAAGGGACTTGATTCAGCTGTGTAGTGAAAAAGTCGGGAACCTGAAAAAATAATTATTCTGCTGGGTAAAAGGTGTTTGTATTTTGCAGAGAATACAGTAAAATGACTGGCTTTCTTAGTTGCCCTGATGTTCTGGTGTGACTTCATTGTGTTTGTCAATTTCTCTCCATGTATGCCCTTCACCTTGATACCTAAGCATGGTAGACCCAATATAAAGACTGATACACTATATATACAAAGGTATGTTGACACCCCTTCAAATTAGTAGATTTGGCAATTTCAGCCACACCTGTTGCTCACAGGTGTATAAAATCAAGCACACAGCCATGCAATCTCCGTAGACAAACATTGGCAGTAGAATGGCCTTACTGAAGAGCTCAGTGACTTTTAACGTGGCACCGTCATAGAATGCCACCTTTCCAACAAGTCAGTTCGTAACATTTCTGCCCTGCAAGAGCTGCCCCGGTCAATTGTAAGTGCTGTTATTGTGAAGTGGAAATGTCTAGGAGCAACAACGGCTCAGCTGCGAACTGGTACGCCACACAAGCTCACAGAATGGGACCGCCGAGTGCTGAAGCGCGTAGCGCGTAAAAATCGTCTGTCCTCGGTTGCAACACTCACTACTGAGTTCCAAATTGCCTCTGGAAGCAGCGTCAGCACAATAGCTATTCATCGGGAGCTTCATGAAATTGGTTTCCATCGACGAGCAGCCACACACAAGCCTTAGATCACCATGCGCAATGGCAAGCGTCGGCTGGAGTGGTGTAAAGCTCGCCGCCATTGGACTCTGGAGCAGTGGAAACGCGTCCTCTGGAGTGATGAATCACGCTTCACCATCTGGCAGTCTGACGGATGAATCTGGATTTGGCGGATGCCAGGAGAACGCTACCTGCCTCAATGCATAGTGCCAACTGTAAAGTTTGGTGGAGTAGGAATAATGGTCTGGGGTTGTTTTTATGGTTCGGGCTAGGCCCCTTAGCTCCAGTAAAGGGAAATCTTAACGTTACAGCGTACAATGACATTCTAGACGATTCTGTGCTTCCAACTTTGTGGCAACAGTTTAGGGAAGGCCCTTTCTTGTTTCAGCATGACAATGCCCTCGTGCACAAAGTGAGGTCCATACAGAAATGGTTTGTCGAGATCAGTGTGGAAGAACTTGACTGGCCTGCACAGAGCCCTGACCTCAACCCCATCGTTGGTTAATATACACTACCATTCAAAAGATTGGGGTCACTTAGAAATGTCCTTGTTTTCAAAAGAAAAGCAATTTATTTGTCAATTAAAATAACATCAAATTTATCAGAAATACAGTGTAGACATTGTTAATGTTGTAAATGGTTATTGTAGCTGGAAAAGGCTGATTTCTAATGGAATATCTACATAGGCGTACAGAGGCCCATTATCAGCAACCATCAGTCCTGTGTTCCAATGGCACGTTGTGTTTGCTAATCCAAGTTTACCATTTTAAAAGGCTAATGGATCATTTGAAAACCCTTTTGCAATTATGTTAGCACAGATGAAAACTGCTGTGCTAATTAAAGAAGCAATCAACATGGCCAGAAACAAATAACTGTGACAAATAACAAAGTATACCAGTTTCATTTAAGGACCAAAGGATTGACAGCCGTCCCATATAGATTGCAAAATAGTTGGGAAGAGATTTTGATGTACCGATCCCATGGCATA